GGCCAGGACAAATAACACTGGAAAAGATACTCATAATATTCCCTTGATGTCTCTGTGAGATCCTGGGCTTAGGTGTACTCAATATTTCAGGCCTTCTCATCCGGATGGCCATTAGGCAGAAATTCCCACGATGGCAGGTGCTGACACATCAAATGTTTAAATATAATGCCCTTTGGAGTCAGAGAAACCAACATTAGCATCTCAGCACTACCACTTACTAACTCAGTGGCAGTTACTCACGCGCTCACTAGCTAAGTTTGGCCAAATTAACCACTTGAAATTTTCTCATCCAGGAAACAGAAAACTATTTGTCTCTCAGGATTGTTGTGCAGAACTCATACGACATAGGTAAAGAACTTAGTATAGTGCCTGTACCTCCCCAAATGACTATTATAATATCAAACACATTCGTAAAGCTCATTGAGAAGTAGATATTTGCTCTAATGGTTTATAAACACTTTTAGACCATTTTATTTGCTCTCCAGGTTTAGCTAAATGCTTTAAGGATATAAAATTCCTTTGTCAGCTGGAATGTCAAGCTTTTGAAACTTAAATGAGAAAGAGTATTCAATACCAGTTCCAAAGGCGAAAAGGACATTCTGTATTTGCGCCTGCTTCTAAAATTAAACCTTTAGAATAATCTTTCTGCAGGTCCAAAATTGACTAACAGGCCTACCCCTAGATTTTTAGCAACTGACAGAAAACTCCGCGGAGGTTTCCCATTCTGTCTTCTCATTCCAAATGGCTTCAAAATCCACTCCTGGAGAGAATCTGGGATCTTTTATGCAGAAAAAGGACTTCTCTTCCAGCTCGACTCCAAGTAACTATCCCTTACCCAAGCTTGTTTGAGTGGGAATACGGTCAGCAGAAGAATGTAGCCAGCGTTCCTCAAGTGTCCTCAAACAATTCCCGCAGCTTCCAGAATCTTGCTCACAAGCCAGGGACCACGCGACAGCAACTCCACCAACTTCAATCCCACCCACCTTCTCCTCCTAAACCCGGTACGCAATCCCACAGCCCCGCCCCCACAGGCGACCAATCAGAGAGTATAAAGCGAGCCGGATGGGGCGGGTCTATTTTGGCGCTGATGACAAATCGCCTGCCTCAGACATCAGGGGCGGAAGCGGAAAAGAGCCGAAAGTCCGGCTTTGGCCTTGGGTTCCGCTGTAGGGGATGTCCCGTGCGAGTGAGTGAGAAGATCCTAGGGCCTAATCTACCAGCAGAATTAGGCGAAGAGACCCCCGACAAGTACTGGAGGAAGGAAGCGCGAACCCTAAAGAAAAGAGCAGGCGGGCAGGCAGCTGGGGGGCGGAACCAGAGCGTACCGGGTCTCGGGAAGCGGGTCCTGGTCGGCGCCGCTCTCAAGGCCATGGTGCAGGCGGAGCTCCGGGCCATCCCTAGGTGAGGGAGCGGCTGCGCCGGGGATTCCACTGCAGTAGAACCGGGTAGACGCGGGCTGCGGAAGGGAGGATGCTGCCCGCGCTGCTCCCCGGTAGAACCCTGAGAGGCCGCAATTGCAACAGCAGCAACAGCAGCAGAAAGCACAGCTCCGGCCAGGGCGGCGGCTTGCGCTTTTGGTGAAGTCGCCCAACGGCTCCTTCTCCGTAGCATGCGGGTTGACAAAATAATCAGTGAACAGGGCTCCTCGTTACAGTCTGCTGCGAGCTCTTTTTCCTTGCCATTCGGAGCTAATTTATGCGAAAAGATGCCTTGCACTTGTACCTGGGGGAACTGGAGACAGTGGATTCGACCTTTAGCAGTAGTCATCTACCTGGTGTCCATCGCGGTTGCGGTTCCCCTATGCGTGTGGGAATTACAGAAACTGGAGGTAAGAGGGCCCTGCTCCATCGCCTCTTCCTTTTCTTCCATCCGTCCAAGGCTGGGAAAGAGACACTCTTGCCCCATTTTTACCCTGGTTACCCAGACTTAGTATCGTGAAAACCATCCATGTCTGATAAATGAGCCCAGCCTTACCATATAAACCTGTCTGTTCTCTTGTTCACAGTTCTTCAAAGCATCTACAGGTGGGGGAAATGGGATATAATGACACTGTTTAGCAAGTATTCATCAGTTCTCTGAAAATAAAGTAATGTTATTACTAAAATCTGATCTCTTAAGATACTGAACTTAACTAGATCAAACAAACTACCTTAAAAACTATGTATTGAATTTTTTTTCTCTGAGATAGAGTCTCACTTTGTCGCCCTCGGTAGAGCGCCGTGGCTTCAGAGCTCACAGCAACCTCAAACTCTTGGGCTCAAGCGATTCTTTCGTCTCAGCCTCCTGAGTAGCTGGGACTGCAGGCGCCCGCCCCAACGCCCAGCTGTTTTTAGAGGCGGGGTCTCACTCTGCCTCAGGCTGGTCGGAACTTGTAAGCTCAGGCAATTCACCCGCCTCCGGCCTCTCAGAGTGCTAGGATTACAGGTGTGAGCCATCGCGCCCGGCCCTATGTATTGAATTTTATTAGCTTTTAACTAGTTTACTGAATTAAAGTGTTCTAGTTGGTATAACTTTGTGCTTTGTTTTTACTTCGGAAATAAGCTCTTAAGCAACAAAGGTTTTGCAAAAAGTCCCTTATATAATTTTTGATGTCATATTCTTATTGTGACATCAGTAAAGTACTACCAGCTGGATGGTAAATACTTAACTAAGATATACACTTTATAAAAACTGTCTAGTGAACTTTAAAAATTTGAGTTAGTAAAAACTGAAAACACCTTTTTACGATAGCTATGACAAGACTATGGCTATTTTAGGCCCTTTATTGTGGAAATGATTTTTACATAGTTAAACAAAATGTAATTAATATGCATTTGCCTTCTATATGTTCACCAAGTTATTTTTTATTGACTTTCCAACACTGGCACAGTCCAGATAGTTGTTTTCAATGTAATGTAACATTCAGCTCCGTTAAATATTTCCCATTTGTTAGACATTTACATTATTTCCATAATTTGTCTACCAAAATTCAGGTATAAACATTTTAATACAAATAGGGTTTTCTTTCTTTGAAGTATTTTCCTTGGAGTATGGTGTAGGAGCAGCTTTTAAGATTAATGGTGTGCATAATATCACCCTAGTTTAAGACTTTTCCCTTTCAATTATAGTTTTTAAGTACCCCCAGCTTTTAAGAAAAATTCTATTCTGCAATCTCCACTGCTGACACTTTCACCCAAGTTCTCTACATACTCTGCCAGGACTCTTCTCAAGGCAGCAGAGTAACCAGTTAAAAGATAAGTCACATTGTGTGTTTCATCTTCAATCACTCCTAGTCTCAGGGTAAAGGCCAGTATTCTAACTGTGGCCATCAAGGCCCAACATTGTCTGACACCACTCCCACCTTTCATTTTTCTTTCCTCAAGGCTTAGGCTTCCACCACACACTGGCTTTGCTCAGGCGTGCCAGGCATGCTACCTCCTTAGAGGCCTTGTACTAAAAGTTCCCCCTTCACAGAATGCCCATCCCTCAGATATTCTTATTCCTTTACATCCTTCAGGTCTGTACGCAAATGTTACTTGACTACTATATTTAAAATTGCAAGCTTCCCTTTCTCAGTTCTTCATATTCTTTCCCTTCCCTACTTTATTTTTCTGCATAAAACTTACCACTACCTACCACAGTTTTTTGCTCAGTTTTCTTTCCCCATCTTTCCACCCACATGACTGACACTTAAATAAATGACTGAGTGTACTTTATGGTGAGAGATACAAACTTGGCACCTAATCTTCATGGAAGTTAGCCATGGAGACATAGGCAACCAACAAAAACAAATTGATCAAATAAAATTGCAAACAAAATGCTATAGAAGAAACTAAAAACAAAGGTCTGAGAAGTTAACAGGTAGGGCACTCTTAACCGCACAACTTCAAAAGGCCACTCTACCTGCTATGGAAAATGAAGTGGGAATGAAGAGAAGTTAGAAAGCTTGTGTGGCAGTAGAGAGGTAGTAGGACTACAATGATTTATGGCCTAGATCAAGAAGTAGATAGAGAAAAGTGAATATTAAGTGTCTTAGGAAGTGAACAAATAGGACTTGGCAGGAGATTGAATTGAGGAGGAGAAGCAGTGAGAGAAAGGAAGAAATCAAAGATGATTCTCAGGTTTTTGACTTGAACAGCTGAGTAAATGATGGTACCACTTGAGATGGAAAATTGAGTATTAGGGATAGGTTTGAGAGAAACTGGGTTCTGTTAGGGATATTTTGTTTAATCAGAGACATTCAAATAGGCATGTCAAATATGCAGTTGGATATGCAAGTCGAGAGCTCAGAAAGATGGGCAGATATGTGGGAGTTTATCTTACTCTGTACAAGCTGCCATAAGAAAATACCATAGATTGATTGTCTTAAACAATCATAGTTTTGGAAGCTCATCCCCTGCCCACGGGATATATGCTCTGTAGTCTTTATACCTTGTCCCATTCATCCTTATGGCCCAAGTAGCTATTCTGACAGTTTGGCTCTCTTGCTTCAGGAAAATTGGGCCCAGACAGTCACTACTGTAAGTCTCCTCTCTTATTTTGAAGCATTTGGCTGAAGGAGAGTTAACTTACTCCTAGATGCTTATCTTTAAGGGTTTTTTCTTTCCTCTCTTCTTGCCTTATGTTACCTTAGAAAAAAACCTACTTATCTCTTCCTCCTCATTTTGTGAGCCAAAAAAAAAACCTCATGGCCAGTAAGTTTAAGAAAAAGGTTACTAGGCCAGGTACAGTGACTCATGCTTGTAATCTTAGCACTCTGGGAGGCCCAAGTGGGTGGATTGCCTGAGCTTCACAGGTTGGAGACCAGCCTGAGCCAGAGCAAGACCCTGTCTCTGAAAATAGCCAGGCGTTGTGGTGGACGCCTGTAGTCCTAGCTTCTTGGGAGTCTGAGACAAGAGAATCACTTGAGACCAAGAATTTGAGTTGCTGTGAGCTGTGACTCCAGGGCACTCTACCGAGGGCAACAAGTGAGACTCTGTCTCAAAAAAATAAAAAAAGAGTGAGGTTAATAATGTCCTTATATCAGTGTCTCAAATTGAATAAATCAGAGATAAATATAAAATTAAAATGAATGTAGAGATATTTTTATGAAACTAAGTTACTACCTGCACTATAAAAATTGATATTAAACTCTGTAATGGCACAGGATTTTTGAATTGGTATGACTATACCATAATGACTTACTTAATTCTCTGGTCACTTGTTTTATGATTATTTGAAAAACTTCCTACAGGACAGTGAGGATGCCTGGTCTTCATTAGTCACAATCACATGTGATTTTTTTTTTTAAGAGACAGACTCTCACTTTGTCACCCTGGGTAGAGTGTCGTAGCGTCACACCTCCAGCTCTTGGGCTTAGGCAATTCTCTTGCCTCAGCCTCCCAAGTAGCTGGGACTACAGGTGCCCGCCACAATGCCCAGCTATTTTTTTGTTGCAGTTTGGCCAGGGCCATGTTCGAACCCACCACCCTACTCACTGAGCCACAGGTGCCACCCCACATCATTTTTTTTCTTAAGTCTACTACCAGGTTCTACTTTTTAGAACTAAGGCAATACTAAAAACCAGTGTGAACATTAAAATGACTTAGCAGGGCTGGACATAGTGACTCATGCCTATAATTCTAGCACTCCAGGAGGCCCAACGCAGGTGGGTTACTTGAGCTCAGGAGTTCAAGACTAGCCTGAGCAAGAGTAAGATCCTGTCTCTAAAACTAGCCGAGCATTGTTGCAGGTGCCTATAGTCTCAGCTACTTGGGAGGTTGAGGCAAGAGGATCACTTAAACACAAGGGTTTGAGGTTGCTATGAGCTGTGACACCAGAGCACTCTCCTGAGGGCAACAAAGTAAGACTGTCTCAAAAAAAAAAAAAAAGACTTAGCAATACTGTTCTTAATAATCACCTTATAATAGAGAAGATCTAAAGTATGCTTATGCTATTATTATTTTCCATGATTTTTTTTGAAATTTTGCTTTCCATGGTTTCAATCACATGTGGTGCACCATGGTCCAAAAATATTAAATGGAAAATTTTAGAAATAAATAATTCATAAGTTTTAAATGGCTCTTATTACAGTATATAATTGTTCTATTTTATTATTAGTTCTTATTAATCTGTGTGCCTAATTTATAAATTAAACTTTATCATTAGTATCTATATGGAAAAATACAGCATATGTACATAAGGGTCAGAACTATTTGTAGTTTCAGGCATTCATGAGGAACACATCCTCTGAGGATAAGGGAGGACTGCAGTCCTCAAATTTTAAATGAAATTAAGCAAAGCCAAAACCAGACAAATAAATGACCAGACATTCCTTTTATTTTTTTTCTTGTTGAAATTGTTATTGGGATTGATTTGAATCTATAGAAAAAGATTGGAACGTATAGACATCTTAACATCTTTGTATCCTCTCCACAAACGAGAACTATCCCTCCACTTATTTAGACATTTTTGATTTCTTTCATTAGAGTTTATAGTTTTCTTCAGATAGATATTGTAGATATTTTACGAGATTTATACCAAAATACTTCATTTTGGGGATGCTAATGTAAGTGGTTGCCAAGTCATTTTAACAGTGAAGCAGTAGAATGCTTCTAGGAACCTAGAACTGGGTTACAGTTTTTGTTTTTGTTTTACTTTTTTTTTTCAAGACAGGGTCTCACTGTTACCAGGCCGAAGTGCAGTGGCACAATCATTGCTCAATGTAACCTCAAACTCCTGGGCTCAAGCAATCCTCCTGCCTCAGCCTCTCAAGTAATTGGGATTACAAGTGGGCACCACCACAGGCAGCTAAAACATTCTTTTTAGAATCTTCACTTCCACACATTTGCTTTTCATATACTACTTTGATTAATCCCCATCATTTATTTTTTTCTTTTTTTTTAATTTCAGATTAATGTGAGGGTACAAACAATTAGGTTGCGGTGTTTGCATTTCTTTTTTTGGGAGACAGAGTCTCATTTTGTTGCCCTCGGTAGAGTGCCAGTGGCACTCACAGCAACCTCAAACTCTTGGGCTTAAGTGATCCTCCTGCCTCAGCCTTCCAGGTAGCTGGGACTACAGGCGCCCACCACAATGCCCAGCTATCTTTTTGGTTGTAGTTGTCATTGTTGTTTAGCAGGCCCAGGCTGGATTTGAACCCACCAGCTCCAGTATATGTGGCTGGTACCCCAGCTACAAGCTACAGGTGCCAAGCCAGTGTTTGCACTTGTGTCCTGCACCCAGAAAGATATGCCATCTACCTTATATTGTGCCCATTAAATGAATCCCAAGCATTTAGCAAGACTTTGGTATTTGCTTTTCAAGTTTTCTATACATTTTAATGTAGAAATTCATTGTTATAATCCATATTTTTTGTTTTCTACTGCTTCACTCTTTGGACATGGTGGAGAAAAATAGGTCTTGTTTAAAACAGTGAGACTAGGGGTTGTGGACTTCAGATCTTTCTTTTAGACATGTGGCCTTCTAGATTCTTGAGTCCAGCCTTTTGACTCAATCCAAACTTCACAGAACAAATCCTTTTAATAAAGAGATTTGTTGTGTTAAATTTGGATTTGGTCGAGGGGCCACACTTGGGAACTGCAGGGCCCCACATGGCCATGAGGCCTCAGGTTTCCCACCCCTAAGGCTCAAAAGATCCCTTTGCCTCAGCCTCCTGAGTAGCTGGGACTATAGGCATATGTTACCACATGCGGCTAATTTTTTTATTTTTTGTAGAGACAGGGTCTCACTCTTGCTCAGGATGGTCTCGAACTCCTGACCTCAAGCAGTCCTCCCGCCTATGCCTCCTAAAGTGTTACGATTACAGTGTGAGGGTGGTGCCTGTGGCTCAAAGGAGTAGGGCTCTGGCCCCATATGCCAGAGGTAGCGGGTTCAAACCCAGCCCCAGCCAAAAACTACAAAAAAAAAAAAAAAAATTACAGGTGTGAGCTGCTGCACCCAACCTCAGATCTATTTTAATTATTAACTGCTCAAACCCCTCAAATATCACAAATGCCCATTTTTTTTCCTCTTTAAAAAAAAAAAAAAAGATTCCCACTTTTAAAGGCAGATTACAAATCGGTATAAAATTCAGTCCCTAGGGCCCCCCAAATAGAACAGAGATTTAATAAAGTTGTTTTTATCAGAAAGCAAGTACATGGATTACTTCAACTCTTTTTCAAAGTGACGTGGTTCAAAGTGTATTTTTAGAAATTGGGCTTTTAAAGACAAAATATCGGTGCCTGGTTTCTCAGTGGTTAGGGCGCTGGCCACATACACTGAGGCTGGCAGGTTCAAACCCAGCCCAAGCCTACTAAACAACAATGACAACTGCAACAACAACAAAAATACCAGGTGTTGTGGCAGGCGCCTATAGTTTCAGCTACTTGGGAGGCTGAGGCAAGAGAACACTTAAGCCCAAGAGTTTGAGGTTGCTGTGAGCTATGACACCAAG